TGCAAACACCTCATGATGATGCAGCAGAAGATGATGTTGAGCCAGAGATTGAGGGGGAGCAACCACCCCAAGAGCCACTACCACAGACACCGTTAAGGAGATCTACTAGAGAAAAACAGTCATCCAGAAAATATTCTTCAAATGAGTATGTGATGATATCAGATCAGGGGGAGCCAGGGACTTATCAAGAAGTCTTGAAGCATGAGAACAAAACTGAATGGTTCAAGGCAATGAAAGAGGAAATGAAGTCTTTGCATGAGAATCACACCTATGATTTGGTGAAGCCGCCTAAAGGGAAGAAAATTTTGAAAAATAAATGGGTCTTCAGACGAAAGAATGATGGGAACAGTTCTCAACCGAGATTCAAGGCACGACTTGTCGTGAAAGGTTTTGATCAGAGAAAGGGAGTTGATTTTGATGAGATCTTCTCACCAGTTGTGAAGATGTCCTCCATTCGAACTGTGCTTGGTATAGCTGCGAGTATGAATTTAGAAGTTGAGCAGCTTGATGTGAAGACCGCATTTTTGCATGGTGACTTAGAAGAGGAAATTTATATGGAGCAACCTGAGGGCTTCAAAGATAAGGGTAATGATCAGTTAGTTTGCAAATTGAAGAAGAGCTTGTATGGATTGAAGCAAGCACCGAGGCAGTGGTACAGAAAATTCGATGCTTTCATGAGTGAGAATGGGTATTCAAGAACCACTTCAGACCATTGTGTGTTTGTGAAGAAATATAAAGATGGTAATTTTATTATTCTCTTGCTTTACGTTGATGATATGCTTATTGTGGGCCAAGACACGAGTAAGATTAGCAAGTTGAAGTCAGAGTTGAGTAAGTCCTTTGCCATGAAGGATTTGGGTCCAGCAAAGCAAATTCTTGGGATGAGAATTGTTCGTGACAGATCACATGGGCTGATTTGGTTATCTCAAGAGAATTATATTAAAAAGGTTCTTGAGAGGTTCAATATGGACAAAGCAAAGCCTGTTAATTGTCCACTTGCAGGCCACTTCAAACTAAGCTCAAGTCAGTGTCCTACAAGTGATGAAAAGAGAAATGAGATGCAGAAAATTCCCTATGCTTCAGCAGTTGGTTCTTTGATGTACGCCATGGTTTGTACTCGACCGGATATTGCTCACGCAGTTGGGGTTGTCAGTCGATTTTTGTCTAATCCAGGGAAAGAACACTGGGCAGCAGTGAAATGGATTATGAGGTATCTTCAGGGCACTTCAAAGATGAGTTTGTGTTTTGGTAAAGGCGAGCCTATTCTTGATGGGTTCACAGATTCTGATATGGCTGGTGATGTTGATAGTCGAAAATCTACTTCTGGTTATTTGATTACTTTTGCAGGGGGAGCAGTGGCATGGCAATCAAGATTACAGAAATGTGTTGCTCTCTCCACCACAGAAGCTGAGTTCATCGCCATCACTGAAGCTTGCAAAGAATTATTGTGGTTGAAGGAATTCTTACAAGAGTTGGGTTTGAAACAAGAAAGGTATGTCCTTCATTGTGATAGTCAGAGTGCAATCCACTTGAGCAAGAATTCTTCATTTCATTCGAGATCGAAACATATTGATGTTAGATATCATTGGATTCGTGATGTCTTGAATGATAAGTTGTTACAACTTGAAAAAATTCACACTGATGATAACACTTCGGATATGTTAACTAAGGCATTGACTAAGGACAAGCATGAGAAGTGTCGACTTTTGGCGGGAATGGTCGAATCCTCCACATAAGTCGGGAGGGGGAGAATTGTTGGGTTTCCCTCCTTTGTGGGACTCATCAATTTGCTAATTTTTTGGTGGCCTACCCGTGTAGGACTCTTATCCAAGACTTGGTTTGGAGTCTTCAAGTTAAAAAGGAATTTGGCAGCCACCAAAAGACTATAAGTTTTGTCCTTTCTTAGTTCTTCTCTTCTCTGTTGGTTTGGCAAGAAGACATATTTTTCGGCAGTCTTTGGTTCAACAAAAATTCAGCCTTCTTCTTCTCCTTTTTTGGTGCCAGAAAAATCTGCAAATTTGTTCTTCAAGTGGGTAATATTTCTTCACTTGATATTTGGGTTTCTTGCGGTTTGTTCTTGGAGATTTGGTTCACTTATTTTGTGAGGTATTTTTCTCTTGTGATTTACACCTTGGTGTGTTTGTAAGGCTTATGCCTTTTGGCCACTTTGTAATCTGATTTGGTGATAGTGGAAGAAACTGACCTACCGGTCGTCGTGGATGTACCTCAAGTTATTTGAGGGAACCACGTAAATCTTGTGTGCTTATTTATTTTCTGTTATTTAATTTATATTACTTCCATTGATTTACACTTGTGGGAAAGTCTATTTTCCCAACAATATCCACTTGGTTCTCAGCTTTCCATGTTTTCATCAGTATGGCTTTGACAACACTTCGATTGAGGGTTTTTTGGGAAAATTTTTTTCAACTAGGCATGACTGTTTCAGTAAAACGGCAGTGGATTCATCCGATTGCAGGTGTATAATCGGTATGCTGCATTTTTGTGATGGTTCTTGAGGGTCAGAAACAGAAAGGGAAAGGGCATTGGGTTCTGTGGACATTGGGTATTTGTGGTTTCTGAAATCTGGGATTTGTTTGTCGACCTGATATTAAAGGATATGAAAGCTTGAAAAGGCCACGGAGAAAGAGAAGCTAGTTAAAACTTTTATTTTTGGGTTCAATAAAGCAATAAATAAAGCAGTAAAAGGAGGGCACTATTTTTACTACAAAGTCAAGTCTAAAAGATAAAAAAACAAGGAGGAAGGTAGAAAGGTATATGGCTTATCCAATACCTGAAAGGAACATCAAAAGTGATAGAGAAGAGAATCTTCTTCGGGGTCATCGCCATTGCTGGGGAGAGGAAGCTTTATCAGGAGAAAAGCAGAGCACACAGAGAGGGAGGAAATTAGAACCCACGACTTTGGTATACTCGGACCGTAATTAGTGTTAGTGTGGTAAAATTAATATTTGAATTAATAAAATTAAATATTAATTTGATGAAACTAAAATCTAAATTAAATAAATTGACTTTTAATTTGACAAAATTAAATTTTAAAATGTTAATTTGATGAAATTAGTAGTTGTGTGCTGAAATTAATATTTAAATTAATGAAATTAAATATCAATTGATGAAATTAATGATAGTTCACTGTAGTATATTCAATGATATCACTGATTCTACTAGATGTAGTAACAACAACGACTGTAGGTATACTATGCGAAATTCATGATAAACTATAAAGGTATACAGTAATATTTCAGAAATTATAATAATGTCCCTACAATTAAGTCAATCTCAAAGCACATGAAAATTTTAAAAAATTTATATTTTCTTCTATTATTTACCATTCTTTTACTAAACAAACAGACTTTTGATTTTTTGGTTTATAATTCTAAGGACTTTTAGATCAAAAGGTCTAACGGGTGTTTTATCAAATCTTAAAAACACATTTATTCCAAAAAGATAAAAATGCTCACTTATTCAATCGTAATCGAAGTAATGTTGCCAACAAGTCAACCATTAACTAGTTTAAACACCAAAAAAATTGATACAAACTACAAAAAAAAAAAAATTGGAAATAATATTTTATGACAAATTCTCAAATTTAAATCACCAAAAAAAAAATCAGAATCATTCATTTCTAAATTTTAAAAAGCCAAAAACAATTTATGAAAATTTCAATAACAAAAAATTAGGGTTTTTCAAAACAAACAATTAAAAATCAAATAATCTTCAAGTTTCATGATTTTTTTTTTTGAAAAATTTTGCTTAGAAATTTATGAGTAAGAATAAAAATTGTGCCACAAGACCAAACAAACCTCTCAAACAACAACTTCAAGATTACATAGAAGTAGGAGACAATTGTAATTTACACTTTCAAAAATTCTAAAAATTTATGATGAATTATAAAATTTTATGATGAATCATAAGAATTTAGAATCGATAAAAATTTTTGTAGTTATAATTTACATCTCAAAAACATTTAATTTGAATTTAAAAAATTATAATTTTCATTATAAAAAATTTTCATACCTTCTAAGGGATAACCATCCTAAGGGCAGACTCTAAACTTAAATTAACTACCGTGACCAATAATCAAATAGGAGGAAGTAGTCGGCGTAATGCTCCTCTCCCATCAGACCTCCACTGCTCCACGCATGGTGCACGTGATCATACCCTCTGCTTCACGTGACCTTTCCCATTTTCTTAACCGGCTTCCCATTTCCCCCTCTCGAAACAGGTCGTGCAAGCACTTTTCGAAACTTACAAAGTACCGACCACCGAAAGCTATTCTTGCATTAAACCCACAAAAAATCCGATCCACACACACACACACACACACACACGAATAAATATACTCAAATGGTTTGTATAAGCGAGTCTGCATGGATGTTATCAAGTTAGGAAACCATTCTCCATTGGACCAGGATGATGTTTTTGTTATGTCTGAGAAATAAATATATTTTTTTTTATGTTTTGTTCAACGTATGTAGAATTTGTAGTCTTCGATGTGCGTGAATTGCGCTGGACCATTGTCTATCTCTGTATAATTTATAGAGTTTCACATGAAGAAAACGCACCTGAATTCGTGGGGGGTTCCAAGCACGAGACTTGGACATGTCTGTGAAAATGCCCCCGTGTCTCTCTCTTGCCGCGTCTCGGTGTTTTTTATTTCGTCCTTTGGTGTCTATCTTAGCTATAAATAGGTAGAGAATTGATCAAATTTGGTGTACGGGTTTGTTCTTGGTACAGAGGTTCTGCGATTGCAAGGTAAAACGTCTCTCTCTCGCTCTCTCCCCCTCCCCCTCCCCCTCTCTCTCTCTGTGTCAAAGGTGTTTGTTTGCTCATTCTACCATGCTTGCTTTGAAATTTATGTGGTTGTACAGGTTGAAGGCATCAAGATTTGATAGCTTGACAGATTACTGTTTTACATCACAACACAGGGACGGAAGCTTTTTGATTGAATGCCACAAAGGAAGAATTGAATTTTGGATGTAAGAATGGAGGGTGGTAATTTCTTAAGTTGGAGGAAGAATTCTTTGCATTGGCAGGGGAATGTGGACGACCATGAAGAGCTCAAACTGAAAGTAGCATCGGCCTTAGCGTCAATTCCTCAACCAGAAACACCAAAGGAGCCAATGGATTTCTTGTCAAGATCTTGCAGTTTTTCTGCTACTGAAATTTCCAAAGCGCTGGCTCAGAAACGCAAACAGTGCATACTTGACAAGAATTCTCATCCAAGCCCTAAGGCATTTGTCCCACCACAATTTGTTGTAAGTCACAAACTGTTATTTACATATTTTTAATATTTTTTTATGTAATATTAGAAGTAATTATTAGGAAATTATTTAGTAAGTGGGTTAGTGATAGAGTATGTTGCGGGTAATTTTCTAGGTGGCGACTAAGATTGTGGAGTCATGGGTTATGGTAGTTATTAAGGTAATTTTTATTATTAATGAAATGTGACAATGTGTATTTCGAATGTAATATAAACTTTCTGCTGAAGTTTTGGAGATTAGATTATTCAGAAATTGAACCAAGAGGGTTTCACCCCTTGGAATTGGGTTTTCTCCCCCTATTCTATTTTTAGTTTTATTTATATTTTTTTCTCAAAAGTGTGCACATAACAATTAGTATCAGAGCATGCACCATGTCATGAGTTTAAGTCACAGAATGGGTGATCTATAGGCTGGGTTAAAATGTCTTAATACTATGTATGAGTATAGTGCTATCGCGTTGAATACTAGTAGGTGAGTGGAGTTGCCAAAGAGAAAAGGTTGCCGTTGGACTAGTGTCGATAGAGTGGGCCGCGTTTAAATAGTTATGAGGTTAACCTACCACAAGTCTTGGGACTTTTGGATCAATGGTTGGATTCATAACTTCATAACACAAACCAGTTTTGCTGGAATCAAGTGACAGCTTATTTGTATATTATGTTTGATTTCTGGGTTGCATGTCTGGCTTGTGCAACTCCAAATGGAATTAAGGTTGAGCTTGAATTCACTAGCTCGAATTTGATCCCGACAACTCAAAACCCCAACCTGAGTATTGTGCCAAATTTAAATCAGGTTGAAATCTTTTTGTCCATACCCAGTTGAGTACTTGAAACCTCTGCCTTCTGCCCAACTATAGAACATTCAGAGTTGGTTTCAGGGTGACACACGCCCCAATTTCAACAATCAAACGGCATGTAGTAACCATGTTGCCCAGCAATTGTAAGGTGATTCAGTCCACCTTGTCTAATTCATTTGTGCTTCCTTGCAGTCAGGAAAGGTCATGAACCTAGTTCATGCTCGTAGAACAGGGTCGTTTGGAAGATGGTTCCACCACAAGGAGCATAGTGACAGCACAGTGAAGAAGAAAGATAAGGCGCGCATGGAAATCGCGCACACTCATGCTGCCCTCTCTTTTGCTGGACTAGCAGCAGCATTGGCTGCAGTGGCTGCAGCCGAAAACTGCAAAGGTTCAGAATCAAAAAAGAGCACAGCTTTGGCATCAGCTACAGAGCTCTTGGCATCATATTGCGTTGAGATGGCTGAATCAGCTGGAGCCGATCACGACCGTATTGCCTCTGTTGTCAGATCAGCAGTGGACATTCGCAGTGCAAGTGATCTAGTAACTCTGACAGCTGCAGCTGCAACAGGTATTCCGTCTGTTCTTTCTGCAACACAATACTGTGAATACTTTGAGGAAATTACAATCGTTTTTGTATTTATCCTTCATAATTTCATAGTTTCTTCGTTTCATATAAAAATTGTGCCTCACAACTACATTTATTCTTACCAAATCTACATATATTGGTCAAATTATACAAATTTTCATCCGGTTCTGAACTGTAAAATCGTACCGAATTTCACAGTTTCTGAAGTATTTTCTATTAACCAATGTCATGTTTTTACTGAATTAAGCTTTGCGAGGGGAAGCAGCTCTGAAAGCAAGATTGCCAAAAGAAGCAAAGAGGACTGCAGCCATAAGTCCATATGACAAGGGTATATCAGAAGCACATACTGTTGCTGCTTTTAATCATGAAAAGGAAGACTATGATCTTCCCTGTATGGGTGACTTACTGCAACACACCCAAAAAGGTAATTTGCTATACAGTCAAGACTAGGTGTCGCGGACGCCTAATTTCTACTACTGCTATACTATTACTCTATTTTTCTGTTTGCCTACCTCGTTCTTGCCAAGCCAAATTTAATACTGAATCTAATCTTATAACTAATGGAATTCTCAGGAGTCCTAAAATGGAAGCATGTATCAGTCTACATCAACAAGAAATCTCAGGTACATGAAAATGGCTTCGGAGGAAATGAACATGGAATGTCTAACTTCTAATCACTTTGTCACAAAATATGATCTTGCCGTCTCATATGACTTCAATGGCAGGTCATAATCAAGCTCAAAAGCAAACATGTAGGAGGAGCCTTCTCAAAGAAGAATAAAAGTGAGCACTCATCCTTTGTGTTGTGAAATATTTACCTCAACATTGTATATTTAACTATAGGGATCTCCTGCTCCGCTATGTGTTCACTAGGGAGGACAATTTCTGACACGACAAGTAAACACGACTCGAAATTAGCTGGTTATATAGTTGATGATTTCTTGACACGAACCCATAAATGACACAATCTGTTAACATGAATAATAAATGGGTCGGGGTAGTGTTAGTAACACAAAATTGACATGATTAAAATTCTTTCACTGCATTTATCTATCAAATTTGTGCTTTAATCTGATATACTTAATGGTTATCAGGTGTTGTTTATGGTGTCTGTGATGAGGGTGCTGCATGGCCATTCAGAAAAGAAAGGGAAAACGTGGAAGTCTATTTTGGAGTAAAAACTGCACATGGTCTTTTAGAGTTCAAGTGCAAGAACAAGATCCATAAACAGAAATGGGTTGAAGGGATTCAAAATCTTCTGCGTCGAATCAGTTGCATTGAAGAAGCCGAACGCTCTCTGAGATTACTAAATATCACCAAGAGCTTTTGACAAGTTTGAGCTTCTGACAATGTGGCCTTGAGGGTTTCACAGTTTCACAATCCTCTTACGATGTGGCATGCAAATTGGATGTAAAGTTGTAAACCTTGGTAAAAGCTGAAGACCCAAGACATTTCTCATAGAGAAGTCCCCCAACCACAAATTTTGTAATAGTAGATCAATCCTTTGTTTCTAATGAATTCTATGAATATATATTCTTTCTTGTTTCGTATATATAATACATAGTCTCCTTTTTATTTTTATATTTTTTTTTTTTGGAAGGGGTAGATATATGTGAACTATAATATTGTAGGGATAATTTTTGTAGAATAACTAAAATGTGTTGAGGTGTGCCTAAATATTCGAATATCATTCGGTCTATGAACTACAAAACTAACATGAGGTTAGAGAAACCCCAGTGTTGAGGCGGGGGAGCGATCAATAAGCGAATGGTCAAGTATATAAAACTAAGAACATAGTAAGAATGTGTGAGGTATGGAACGGAGAGTTCTCGTACTAAGATTTCTTTACCTTTTAGAGTTCAAGGATAATTATAGAAAAAAAGAGAAACTTCCATATTATACTAATTTTTCATTTGTGAAATTAATCAAAGACCGACATTTCTTTTCGAATCTTTGCCCTTGAGTTGTATGTCAGATGATGCAACCCTTTTTGTCATATGATGGGATTCATCACAATTTTTGTCCCGTCATTTATGATCATACACTTTTTTATTTATGATTATTTTTATTTACATTTTATTTTTTAAAATAATGATTCCATCCTTTTAACATTATTTTCTAGGGTAAATTATACTTTGTGTTCCAAAAGATTTAAAAAATAAATATATTGTATCATTAGGGCATGTGTTATTTGAAGGATAATGGTGGTATAAGGTGGTAAGATTAAGAAAAATAATACGTGGGCCTAATAATATTTTATTTGTTTGTCTTTTTTCGTGTAGTACTATTTTTTGGATCGCAATACCGACCCACTCGCTACCGTCTCTGAAACCAATGTATTTGGGCTTATATAAACCAAAGTGGTATTATTTTTTGGGATTTGACCATCAACGATATTAAGAAGATTAATGACTGAATTACCCTTGGCTTTTAATGTTAGTATGAGATTTGACCACCAATGATTTTTTTTTTTATTAATTTTTTAAAAAAGATTTCTAATTTTGAATTTTTTTTCTTTGTATTATGTTTAAGTATACGGTGTCACAATTTTTTTTAAAAAAAAATATTTTGAATTTTTTCTTTAGTGTACGGTGTTTTTTTAAAAATTATTTTGAATTTTTTTCTTATATTATGTTTAAGTGTACGATGTCATAGGTTTTTTTTTTTTTTAAATTTTAAAAAAAAATATTTTGAATTTTTTTCTTCTATTATGTTTAAGCGTATGATGTTACCGATTTTTAAAAAAAAAAAATTTATGAATTTTTTCTGTACATGCATCTAGAACATGCATATATATATATCTTTTTTTTTTTTGTACGGTGTCACCGATTCATAGCATAAGAATCTTTGTTTTTTATGTGGATTTTTTACATTATCTGGAATTTTTTGGATATAAATTATCATACCATGTATTATACCAAACATCGTGCAAAAGCGTTGCACAAATGGAGTAATGAAATAAATGATGTTAAGAATAAAATTGTATATTTGTTATACAATATGTGATAGAATATATGGTTATTTATGAGACTCGGCATAGTACCTATTGAACTAACAAACATTGGAGGGGATTGAAATATTTTCTATCACCGGTATTAATTTTCAATAATATTGAAAATGTAAATAATATATTTCTCAATACCATGTGTAGCAATCTTCAAAACAAACATGCCCTTAATATATTAGAATTGTTAAAATATGATCGTTTTGTTAGTTTTCGTTGCTCATTCTGTCAAAAGTCATCCATTGTTGTGGACGAAATAAACAATTAAAACTAATATAAGAGTCATATTACAATAATTTTAATACATTGAGAATGTAATAAAAAAAAATAATCTTTAAGGGTATAAAATAAAAACTCTTAGAGTCCGTTTGGTTAGGAATAAAAAAATGATGAAAAGTAAAAATAATAGAAAATGAAGTGAAAAAACAAAAAATAATAGAAAATATATTTTTATGCATGCATTTGGTTAAAATAAAAAATATATGGGAAAGTTTTAAAAAAATGTCATTTTATTATTTGCAAGAAAGGATACTCATAAATTTTTTTTACAATTGTCTAAATTACCCTTTATTATATTAAATCGGTCTAAAAAATAAAAAAAATATGTAATTATAATTTAAAGTTAAAAAATTTTAAAAAGTGACTCGAAACCTAATTCTAAGACAATCACTAACACAAAAGTATTTGAGCCAAATTATATGATTAATCAAATTCATACCAAAAATTTTTAAAATTAATAACCAATAAAATATTTTAAGAAAAATAAGAATAAAATGAGAGGTTAGTTATATATCACAATTTTCTTGCATTTCCTTTTGTTTTTTACAAGAAAAAAAATTTAAATATGAAAGAAAAATATTTTTTATATTATTTTCCTTTTCATACTAACAAAACAAATGAAAAATTTTATAAATTTTTGTTTCTTACATTTTTTACCATTTTCGCGCTAAACAAACGAAGTCTTAAATCTTTTGGGATAGAAAATGTGATTCCCTCTATTTTATATTATCAAAAATAATAACTCAAGTGGCTCACTTAGAAAAATTGAAGGCATGGGCCAGGAAAATTTGGCTCAGGCAATTCGGGTTTGGGTGGATCCAGATCCTCTTCAATATATATATATATTATTTTAATTTTTTTATTGGCACATTATCCACTATTTATGATTGAGAGATTTTCTTGTATACAATAGGTCTCACTGGAATACACGATAAATGATGTACCAAAAAAAATTGAAGAAAAAGTGTATTTGAGAAGATCTCTGTTTAGGGGCAGGTCACGGATCGAAACTTGGCCCATGGGTCAAACAATCTGTTGGTCTGGGCAGGACTTGGGTCCAGAGAATAGCCCATGATCTGGGCCTAGCCGCCTAGGCTACTTAAGGGTCAGGCGTTCACAGAGCACACAGCTTGTACCAGCATACACCAACCATGCCTGTAAGTCTCTCTCTCTCTGTCTCTCTCTCTCTCGTTAAGTTCAATCTGGATTCAGATCTCAGTTCTCACACAACAAAGCTCAAATTACGATCGATGGCAAGACGCCTGATTCTGAATTAGATTACAATTGTACAAACAGGCATAGATGCAATCTTCATCCATTTATGGCTTTGGTTTTACTGTGATGTATGCAGTTGAGGAGAGTTTTAGAGGTGGAACCACCGAGCCCATTGAGGTACATAATCGGAGCAGCCATAATGATGATCGGCGTTGTATTGCCAGTAGGTTACATGATGTTCCGTAACAAGCGTGTCCCCTCCCCCTCTTCCTCTTACTCCAAACAGACGTAGGTGTGCCTTTCTTTTTATTTTTTGCATATTTTATCAAATTATTAACAAGAAAAGAAACCTAGGATTCATTACCGCATGCATAGTTTCAATTTTGTCCATTGTGCATCATATATTTGATTGCAGGTTCCTTAAATTAGGTCAAACTGATACGAGAGATTGATTTGTTGTTTCAGGAACAAAGTTATGACATAGAGGCATATTTAGAAGGCTTGGCTTTAGATTTGATTTGTGGGTCATTAACTGTGATGTTGGTGATAAAGAGGAGTTGGGTAGGTTTTGCTTTTTTTTTGGTTGTATTCATATCTATAAATGATATGTTTGTGATTATTTCATTTCATTCTCATCACTGTTTTGTTTTGTTTTTGGAGCTATAGTATTTTTTTTTTTGGGTCCGAATTCTGAACTGTATTGAAGTTTTTAAGGTGTTACCGTGTTAGTACTTGTTTCAAAATATTTGCTTGAATTCTATATTTTCTTGCATCCACTTGAAGTACCTATATATTTTGTTAGAAATCTGGCAGTTATTGACACTGGATAATTTTTTTTTCTTTTTTCTGAAAGATCTACATGGAAGATGCATTAATTTTTGTGTTATAATTTACCAATCATAGCACAAATGTATACATATACAATGTTAATCTTGTAACCAAGTTACTTTCAAGTATTGTGCATTAGTTGAGGCAACTTGTTTAGACTTAAGATTTTGTTTTTGTAGATTGAGAGATACCGGAGATCTTAGAAAAAGTTTAGTAGTAAATGGAGGAATTTCGATACAATTTGTTTCCTCTTCGCTTCATTTAGTTTTTAAAGCATGCCTATATCTTCCTGTTCGTACATTTCATAGCATGCATTTCTTGGCATACAAAACATAGAGTACAAAATTGGGGGAAAAAGAGTGCAAATTCAACGAGCACAGTATCCACCACCAAAAGTAGGACTTTGCATTCAAGTTTATCTTCATCCATGCCTTCTTGGAGTACCACTACTTGAACTATGGCTTATATAGGTTTCTTTTAGTTTCCTTCATATACTTCTGCTTGAATACTGTGTTTCTTTTGCTCCCTGCTATTCAAATGATATTGCCTATAGATTGGCATCATCTGGATATTGATTTTTTTGGGAACTTCAGTCAGTTATGAAATGGATTTCCAAGGATGGTTGTTTGTTATCAGGTTTTAGTGTTGAAATTTTCAATTTAGATTCATGATTGGCTTGGATGAGAAGATAGTTTAAATGGGATTGGGGGGGAAATGTGATTTTGTGATGCATTTAATCATGTTTGTAACATGGGATCGTCTGTTATTCAATTGTTGGAATGTTCGGGCCAATTTTATTGAGAGGAAATAAACCAACCGTTTCGCTTCAAGCTTGTAACTGGAAATTATTGAAACCACTTGAACTCTAGGCATAATTTTTCAAGTGGTGTTCCTGTTTTGTTCTATCTAGTTTTGAGTAGGATGTTGCAAGCGAATTATGATCAAATTGTCATTGTGCAGAAGCCA